TATATATATATATATATTTCATATAAGAGTAAGAGACTCTCATAGATAAGAATTATACACACCCACACACATACATTACTAAACATAAGCAGAAAAAATATTTATGTAAATTTGAAGTAAAATCAACATAAAAATTTGTGTATGAAATATATTTTTATATGAAATATTAAAATAAATATTTTTGCTTTATATTAATAATTCTTAACTATGGTTATTATATTATTTATTACAGAATTATTTAACTTACGTTATACTTTAACAAAAGGCACACATGATGTCCCTTCAGAGAATGTCCATATAAAGATGCAGTATCGTCAATTTGTTCCACAAGAGTGAGATTGCATTTACGGCAGATAATACTCAGAACTGTTTCAAAGTCCTGAGAAGGCATTATCTCTTTTCTAATCTTAGATATTAATTGACCACTTTTGAGAAGTTCCGTAAGTATGTCTTTGTGAGATAGATGCCCGACCATGAACTTGCTACATGACAAGTGTACAGTGAAATCGAGCTTTTCTTGTTGTGCGCCTTCTTTACTCTCGAACATATATGTCAGTGTACCTCTAAGTCTCTGAGCAAATGTCACGTCCGAGACTAGTATGGTGAACTCAGTTTCTTTACTAGATTGCAGAGGCAGTTGGAACGGCAGTTTTATTCCAAATTCATCTCCAGGCTGAGAAAAGAATATGAAACAACAATGACAATATTACAAAGCTATTTCTAAGGAATAAAGCATAATCTTTACATATTTAAATATGTATTAACTTACATTCCTAATTAATTTAAGTGACGATGTATCTGGAACATCAAAGACTAATTCTTTCACAAGCGACTGACCTATATTTGTAATGCAAATTGATACGATAACTTTACTCGAATCGTGAGGGATTTGTTTTAGCTCATATGTCATGGAAATAATTTTATTTTTGGCTAATTCTTCATAGGAGATATTTTGCTGTACATTAATTGTATTATATTCAGAATTCGTAATATCGTTCTTTAACTCTGGTAAAATCTCTTTTGACGGAGTGGATATTCCAGCCGTTTCCTCATAATCAAATAACTTATTTCCTTTTTGCTTTTTGATTTCTTCGATTTTCTGTGTTTTGCATCTTCTTCATTGGATTTTTTGTGCTTGTTTTGACTCTTTGACTTTTTGCGTTTGCTATCTTTCTGAGGCTCACTGGATACTTCTGTGTATTCTTCTATAGCAGGAGATTGAATTTTTTCGGGAGATGAATTAGTTTCCAACCACAAGTCAGATGACTCCCTTTGATTATTTATCTTGTTTCCTTTGGCATCCTTGACTTTTTTCTTAGACCTTCTATGTCCCTATCAATTTAGAAGGCATAAATTAAATATTTTTTAAAATATGTAAATAAAGTAAACAAGTTTATAATACTTATATGTATAACATATTATACTTATTAACATATTAAAATACTTCTATTAATACAAAAATTAATTTACTTTTTCCTTTTTGTTTTCCTTTTCTTCGATTTTCTTCGTTATATTATTTTCAATAATTCTATGTTCTAAGACAGGCAATCTTTCATCTTCTCGTAAAGGCATATCCAAGTCAATATTCAAAGCTCTATGTGGATCATTCGTATCTACTAAATCATATTCGTCACTGTCGCTTATCTCTGCACCCGGAGGAAGTTCTCCAATTCCAGTATTTACTATTTGTAGTGGTAAACTATCATCCTGTTCGTCTTCTTCTGATGCAGATTTTTTATCTGAAAATAATGAGCAATAAGAATTTCAAATATCTAACAACATATTTAGAATACATTCAGGAAACACTATTGCGTCGTTCTTTATTATTCATTCAATCAAAGATAAAATCGTAAATAAAGGATAGAATGACACGACAGCGCTAATAGAAAGCTCTCCGAATACATCCTTAATGTAATGTTGCAAATAATTAAAATTTACTTTTATTTTCTTCAGTTTCTTCTTTTTATCATGCTTTTTATGCTTTTGTGACTACTATCTACATCGCGACATCTGTGTACATTAGAGATCTTTAGTGAAATCGGGATGTCTAATTCCGCGATGGGAATGTTTTCATATACGTCTTCATATACGTTTGATGAATTATGATATGATGTAGGAGTCTTAAATGAGCCTTTTAGATAATGAGGATTATTTTCTTGTTCTAATTTTCTTGCTTCTCGTCTCCTTTCAAGTTCCTCCAATGATGGTTCATTTAAATCTCGTTTGGAAAATGAATTATTTGGTTTTTCTGTTTTAATAAAAATATCATTCATATCTAGATCCTCTGAATCTGAACTCTCTGAAGGTGGGTCATTGATCCAGGAATCTAGATCTAAATCTTCGGGTATTGGAACCTGAAAAATACATCATGATATTTTTATAATAACATTTATATGTGTACATAAATATTGCATCAGATAGATATTAATTAATATATGTATAGTCAGCAACATCGAATCATTAGATGTTGCAGAACCGCGAGGAACGTTTTCTTTTCGATAAGCCATTTTTTCCAGCAGTCAGCTTTTTTTATTTCTGATTAAATATGGACTGAATATGATAATTAGAAAAGTTTCACATTAATAATATAACAATAAAAATAATAATTGATTAATAATATTTAATCAGTAAAGATACACGACTAATTGAAGGGGAATGATGTATGGAAGGAGATCCCTCGTGGTCTCGTAATGTCTAGTGCGATTCGACGTTGCTAACTGTACATATTCTCTTTTAATTTAACACACACGCACGCACGCACGCACGCACGCACGCACGCACGCACGCACGCACGCACGCACGCACGCACGCACGCACGCACGCACGCACGCACGCACGCACACACACGTGCGTGCGTGATATTATTAATTTGATATTTACTTTACGTTGAGCCTTTGGTGCAACTGGATTAAGTTCACCTTCAAAAGCCTCCATTAATTCCTGCGCGAGACCAGGATTTTCTTTTAAACATTCAAGTAGTACTAATGCAGAGCTTGATCTTTCCTGAACTTCCAAATCGCCACTACAGACAAAAGCTGTTATTTTATCTCTTAATCCATAAATCTGTAAAATAAAAGATAATATTGAAACGAGATATTTCGTCTCAACTTAAAATGCAGATATATTTGTTTCAAAATATTATTAACTATTATATGATGCATGCTTAGTTATAGCATAATATAAAAATTTTATTATTACTCTAAATTATGTTTTACCTTTTCCATAGTATCAGTATCTCCCTTCTTCTCTGCTTTGGCAAATGTCGTTGCAGCTAATTTTAATATATTATGAACATAAACAGCCTGTATATGCCCCGGCAAACTAGAAGCTTGTGATCGCAACATAGATTGCAATGTTGCCAAAGGATCTTCCAATTCACTATTAGTTGATTAAATTATTAAGTATATCATTCAGATTAAAGTTATACAAAATTCATATTACCTAGAGAATTCTCCGCAAATCCATGCTGCTGCATATAAAACCTCAGACATTGTTGCCCTTGGCTGGCCGGTTAAAAGATATGAATTCTCAAGCAATAAGGCACATTGTTGAACCGCATATTTTCGGATAGCTTGTACACGAATTGCTACGTCGAGTAATTGAGTTGCTACTAATGGTCCATGTTTGGTGCCTTCCATTCGTGTAAGTTCCACCAATACAGATATGTACCTGTGTATGGACACAATTTTCTACAAACTGCCCTAACGAATTTATATAAAACAATTTTATATTTACCACTCAAAGTAGGTAATAAACTGATAATTATTCTGTGAGCAAATTTGAATAATCTTTGAGAGCAATTCATCACGATACGTAGTGCCTTCGGCTTTGTCCATGTGTACCATTAATTTCTTAACTATCTCCATTAGATTTTTCTTGGAAACCATTCCATACAACAAATCCAAGGCACGCAGTCTTATACTTTCGTCTTTATCATCAAGACATTGCATAATTAGATCTTTATGAGCTTGTACGCTCTTCGGATGCGTTCTCAATATTTTCGACATCGCCAATAATCCTAGATACTTCAGGTTTTGATCGGAGTCCTCTATTAATATTCTCAATTTTTGAACACACAGCTGTATCGAATCGGAGTGATTTGGCATACCGGACGATATAGAAATCAACACAGCAATTACTGTATTGATACATTCATATAATAAGGACATTGCGGATGTACTAAAAATGAGCAGTATTATATTATAAATTATGTTGAAAATTTCTTACTTGTAATAAAAAAATAAGTATATTACAAAATATTACAAGAGATAAATACAAAGCTAAGATAAAAGGAATATAGAGAGTTATAAGATAGAAAACGATATGTTAATGATATTATAAGCATGTTAATTGGGATACTATTGAATAAAATACACTAGATACCTGTGTATCAAATTGGTAAGAGGTTCTATTAATTTTTTGCCAAGCCTAGGTTCTAGAGGTGTCAATGCTCCAAACTGAAAATATTATGTTGTCTCCTAAGATATATTTGATACTGTTTTTTGATACAAAGGAGTAGTTTAATTCTAATTTCATACAAAGATGAAATATGTAAAATCAAACTGTATGCAATATGAATGATTCTACAGAATGTATTCAGATACTGATGTATCCTATCAATAATATGTTACAATTACAATAAATAAATTGTATTTTGTATATACATAAAAAAATAAGAGATGTATAAAACCTTGAAATTAGATCAATTAATGGTTGAGTAAGTCGGCGACCCAGCTTTGGTTCAATCAGAGTTATAGTCGAGAACTGAGTGTGAAAAATAAAACCAATACGGCTTACAGTAAAAAAAAAAAGTATATAAACTTATTATATTTATAATAAGTTACATTGATACTATATTGAAAATTATTAATGCAAAATTGTTATTAAAGAGAATTATAATTATAAATATATGACTTCGTTCATTAAAGAGATTATTTTGTGTTGTACACCATTATTCTATATAAAAAAATTATGCCTTAAAATTGAAGTAACCATAATATCACTCACCAATTTGATGATCTTGATAAGCATCCAATTATTTGTAGAAGTTGTCATTAACTTAAAGAAAACAGGCGCTAAGCTCAAGTAATTCTTCGGATTTTTCCTGGCTAATTCGCACACTACGTTTACTGCCGCACTTTGAACACCACTGTCTGGATCCTCAAGCTTCTCTTTTAACCTGGGGAAAGCAGGCCTCAAGGCCTCAGGAAATCTCAGGAATACTTTATACATCATCAAGACAGCCTTCTTGCGCAAGTATGGCTTTGTAGAAGTCAACAATGTCATTATATCATGAACTAGGTCACGTGCTAGATCTGGACTTATAAAGCAAGACAAACCGCTCAGTGCTAAACCAGCATCATACTGGTTTTGACTATTTAAATCTTTACGAATCATATTCGTTGTTAGCATCAATAGCTATAATAAAAAAACATTAATAAATTACAAGATGAATATTGTCTTTCAATTTTAATGATTTGCTAAATATTATACATATATGTAAATAAATACATTTAATAATAATTTAATAATAATCACAATTTAATTTAATAACAATTTAATAACAATATTTATGGTTATTTTATACATCCAATTTTAATTTATTTTGCAATGAAGACAAAACATAAATATAGACAATATTAAGAATAGGTCATTACAAAAATATTATAAGCAAGTAAAGTAAAGTATCTGCTTGTATCAAGCAAAATAAGATTTTACCTCTGTATCTGCATGAAAGCTTTGACTGGCGGCGAGATAACCGATTCGTTTGTAAGTGAACTTTGCTGATGACATCACTTCTATTATATTAAAGCCAGCCCAACTGATGTCATATCCTAACATCTGGAGCTGCAGATAGAAGAGTAGATCGACCGTTAATACTCGAGACAAATCGAGTTAAATTGAATTAAGCCGGCACGTTATAAATCGATCATATAGGCCACATCATGCCGACGGATATCCCGGTATCTGTCAAAATTTACGTGCCACCCGTGAAACTTACATATGTCAACTTGGCCACGGCGTTGGCCTTGACCGCCACATTATCTTGCCGTAACTCCTGCTTGATCTCTTCGATGCACTGCGCGATGTACTTCGCCTGACATAGAAAAAAATCGTAAAATTCTTTCGAGTCAACGAGAAGCGATTTGTAAAATCAGGGGACAGGGCGAGCGAGGAGAAAGAGTTAGAGGTTAGGTTCCGATTAAGGATTTCAGCAGCGGGAAAACCGCGAGCGGCGGAGCACACGCAGAAATCACCTCGTTTTCCTTATTATTCCTGATCCCGCGCACCAGATCCGTCAGATTCTTGTCGAACATCCGCTCAAAGTTTCCCTTTACTTTGCGGAGTGCCATGGTCGCAATTTAAAAAAAAAAAATTAAAATGCCGTTGCACAGCACTGGTGTCACCGCTCAAAGAACTTCCTCGCGCATTGGCCGTACGTCTCGACTCGATCGGACGACACGTGGCTCGAATACCATCACAGTTAGTCAAAATTCGAAAGCCCTAATCCACCGCCCTGCATTCACATTTTTTGACAGACTGGCGGACGAAAGAGGAAGAGAGAGCTATTTGGAAATCATACTTAAGAAATGTTAAGAGGGCAGACAAACACGGATTATCTGACGTATCTTCTCTCATTGGCTATGTAATCCTCCTATCGACATGTTTAGTTGCTCCAGTTCATTCCGGAAGTAAAATTCTCAAACATAGTTTGGATCCTTAGGGTTGGTTTAGTGTCGGTCCACAATAAGTGATTTAAGCTTTAAGACGTAAGAAATTGACCAATTATAATCGAATATGAAAAGAATAACCGACTATGATTGGTCAATTTTTTACGGCTGAAAGATTAAATACTTATTGTGGACCGACACTTATGGAGGCCGTAAGTATCGCTCCACAATAGGTGATTTAAGCTTTAAGAAGTAAGAAATTGACCAATTATAATCGAATATGAAAAGAATAATCGACTATGATTGGTCAATTTCTTACGACTTAAAGATTAAATACTTATTGTGGACCGACACTAATTTATTAACTTATGCCGTAACCGTAAAATATTGACGAATCATAGTCGATTATTCTTTTATAATTCGATTGTGATTGGTCAATTTTTTACGATTACGGCATAAGTTAACAGATTACAGTCTCCATAAACCAATCCTTTTGCAGACACTAGCGCTTTGACACAAATGCTGATTGGTGAAAAATGAGTAGTGGGGATAAAACAGTGAATGAATCTTTACTATTTATCTCCATTATTCGTTTTTCCAATCAGCGCTCGGTGTCAAAGCGCTAGTGTCTGCATGAGAATCCAGGTTTACTTTCGACGTCACACAGGATATCTAACATTCAAACTTAATAAATATGAATATGATATTTTTTTAAATATCAATGATGAAATAAGAATTCAGAAGAATTATTTTTAAACTTGAGGATTTGTCCCATCGCGAATTAAATGAGACAAGCTTAAGTGACTTCGTTAAAACTCCGATTATATCGTCGGATAATAATTTATATCTATTTCTAGCAATATAAATTAATTTAAATATCGACTTAATTTACTCTTTATCTTTTTCTAATTTTCAGAATTAAAAAAAGATAAAAAGTAAATTAAAACAAAATTATAATTTATTTACATTGATAAAAGTGAGTGATTAATTCAAGTGATAGAATTGTCTATTTTATTATTTTTACTCTAACAATTTTCTATACATTAACAAAAAAACATTAACAAAAAAATTAATTATTCTATTCATTACCAAACGCTTAATAAGTCAATCATTAGTTAAATGAATTGGAGATTAGAAAATTGCTTAAACATCTGTCCGAAATAATTAATCAATCAATTGACTGTATGCAGAAATTGCTACGCTCTCTATGATTAGTTAAATTTCCATGTACGGCTCGTTTGAATGGCTCTTAAGTTCAACTAAATATTAATTGATAATGACCGGCCTATTAATTGACACGATTTTCGATAGATGGAAATCTATTGTCTGTATCTGTTCCTGTTGCCTATTATTTGCCTATTATTTATTGCTGTTCCCAATATTTTCTCCATTGTACGCAGGACTTTAGTCAATCGAATGAACAAAACAAACCTCCCACTATCGTTCTGCTGTGAACATAGCCGAGAGTCGCGCATACTATACACACGCGCGGACAAGTTCGTTCCGCCGTATCACTGCTTCGATGCTCCAGCTAACTTCATTAGATAGGCGGACATCTTCCATCTCCATCATGTTTCAGAATCAAAAGAGACAGCGAATCGTTGGCCAATTAATCGAAGTTGCCGATATAACGCCGACCGTCGCGCTCTCATAAATACTATCATGCACACATACGCACATACGTGTGTTCTCACGATCGGCTCGTCTTTGTATTGACCCACCCACACCACCTCGGAATTATCGGGCCGAGCATTCGTCTCAGATTGCTCTCAACTTTCGAGATTCGTGATCGCCGTCGTAGGAGCCGAGACAAAGGCCAGCGCGGAGTCAAAGACGGAATTAAGAGTGCCGGAGTTGCCGTGAGTCGACGAATCGATCATGGAACGGCGTGATTTGCGCCTCCGTATGACGCGAGGCCGTCGCGAGCCCTGAAAAGAAAGGGGAAAAAGTGTTGTCCGACAGCGAGAGAATCGCCACAAAGGTCCGCGGCGACGTCTGCGACTTGCCGCGTTACATTCGTCTGGGCGTCACTGTCCGCGGGCAGCGGCATCGGGGGCAGCACGACGCACGAACGCGCCCCGGAACCGAGGTTGAGAACCGCTCCGATATTTGTATATTAATTCCTTATCGCTCCCGGTGTATGCACGAAATTTTCGCGCGACGTAGGGAAATGTCTCTTGCGACACCATGTCGGTATCGCGAGCCTCGTTTCGCATGGCTGCGAGATTCGGTCCGGCGATTCGTTTACGTCATGAGATATATTAAATTGCCTCATCGATTGCTCGCAATGCCGTGCGAAAGCACCCGTTGATGCACCACGCGATATTAATGTAACATATTGCAACTGCATTTGTTGTCACCTGTATTCTGTTTGCCTTATTATTGCTTAACAGGGAAACTTCTATTTTGTTAGGATTTGATGAGATTGTTCGGGATTTAATATTTACAATTCTGATTACGTATGACGTTTTATGATATATGTATAATAATTATTATATTTTATAAAGAAAAGTATGTTCTTATTTATTTCATATTGAGTTTATGTTTTTATTTTGCAGATAGCTTATCACATGTGAACATTTTATTCTTGATGGAACAATGACTTCCAGTTACTTCACTTTGCCAATTAATATGGACAGGGTATGCAGGATCTGTCTTACCGAGGCTACCAATCTGTCGCCAATTTTCTCAGCTGCTCAAGAAGTAAATGATCTCTCAGGTCTTTCTCAAAAAATACAAGTCTGTGGTTCCATTGAAATACATGAGCAAGATGGATTACCTTCTCTGATATGTGATGTTTGTATTTATAAGGCGAGTGTTGCTCACGAGTTTAGGCAGCAATGTCAACACTCTGATGCAAGATTACGCATGTATTATAACAAGCCTGCCAAATGTATTAAGTCTATCACGGTAAGAATCTTTGTTGATTTATATTTGTCTATGTATTGAAAAATATTTATATGTTTATATATTTGTGACATAATTTTTCAGGATTTTCAAGATTCTTGTACGCAGACTGATTTACAAACAAGATTTTTACTCTCGAAAAAATCAGACAATTTCCAGGAAGATTATTTTGTGAAAGAAGACATGCAGGTTGTTGCAAATGCACAAGAATACATTCAAACCACTGACTCATTTTCTAGAAGTGTAGATAGCTTGAGTACTAATCAAATTCAAATACCAGATGAAAAACTGTTTATCTGTTCTATTGGATTCGAAGGAGGTAAAGAGGAGGTGAAAAATTCTTGTATATCGGAGAATGAAGTTCATCAAATGACAATAACGCAAGAAGATTCGCAAGAAGATGTACAAAATACATCTACCATCATTAATTTACCAAACAAAGATGATGATATCAAGGATACCAATCAATATGGTGAAAAGAATAGCGATGAACAAGAGGAACAGTTTGTCAATGAAAACTTATCCAACGATAATGTAGAGGAAGAGGAAAGCGTTCCTCAGAAACGCACGTCTTCGAGAAAAACGAAATCGGCAACTACTAAGACATATAGTGACGATGAAATCGCTGATAATTATTATGAGCCAAGTAGTGACAGTCAAGATTCAGTGGAATCGAAATTCAAATGCAAAGTCTGCTCTAAGCAATATGCCACGCAGAAAGGTCTAAAGAAGCACTCGTTAGTTCATGAGAAAAAATATAAATGTAATGTCTGTTTAAAGATGTTTTATAAGCAGGAAAATATGGAGAGCCATCAAAAAATACATACGTCGAAGCCACACGCATGTCAACTCTGCCACGCGTCTTTCTCCAAGTCTCAGAGTCTCGTGAAGCATTTAAAGTCGCACACGGAGAAAGTAAACGATATGATTAAGCAGATCAATACGAGCGAGCGAAAAGATAATAAAGAACCGAAGAAAGAACTCAAGAGCGAAGACGATACCGATGATGAGACCGGGCCTGCGAATGAAACAGACGAATTCGAGAATGCGCCCGAATTGTACAAATGTGAGATTTGCAATCAATATTGCTCATCTATGAAGAATCTAAAGAGACATGCTCTTGTGCATGGCGACAAAAAGTATCCTTGTACTGTATGTAAAAAGTGGTTCTTTAGGCCGGATACGTTGAAAAAACATGCGGAGAAGCACGGGCATGGATTACTGGATAATTTAGCAGATGATAACAAACTATATGATTCGGACGATGATGATATGCCGACTAATAACACGATGGATCTTCCGCCAGAGAATGAGAACGTCAAAAAAGAAGAAAGCGACGAGGAAGGATCTGGAGAATACAAATGTCAACATTGTGATAAGGTCATGGCTACTAAGAAAGGTTTGCGACGGCATGTGTCGATGCACAAGCCAAAAGCCGAGCCCGTTACCTGCGAGATCTGCAGGAAAGTCTGCGCTAGTCAGGCTCGTCTTGTTCTTCATCAGAGAACACACAAGCCGAAAGAGAAAGTACCGCGCGAATATCTATGTCACATTTGTAGCAAGGTATATCCGAGCAACTCATCCCTCACATATCATATGCGAACTCATACTGGCATTAAGCCACACGTGTGCAAGACGTGTAACAGCGGCTTCACGACGACAACGAGCTTAGCGAATCACATTCGCATTCACACGGGCGACAAACCGTTTGTCTGCCATGTGTGTAGTGCCGCGTTTGCTGTGAGTTCAGCTTTTCGAAGACATTTGACCCGACATACTGGTGAAGCGAATTACCTATGCAAAACCTGCGGCAAAGCCTTCAAGAGGCTTAGCACACTAAAGGAACACACATATACTCATTCCGGTGAGAAACCGTATGTATGCAAGACATGCGGCGCTGCATACAGCCACAGTGGCAGTCTCTTTGCACATCAGAAGCGTTGTCGCGCCCAGTACGGTGAGATGATGGTTGATGATCACAATCATCATCACATACCACACACGGTCACTCATATTCACGTGAACATGAACAACGTGAATAACGGTGCAGGAGTGCGACCAGTCGCTGTGATAGGTCAAATGTTTTAAGAATAATTATGTGACATTATCAAGATTACAAGCATCATTCGCGAGTGTGTGAGACTATCATTATGCACAATCTGTTGCTATAAATTCTGTATGCGAAATGCATGTAATATAAGTTACACCTCTGTAAATACATACAGCTCTTTCATAATGGAAAACGTTCCTTGGATATATATGGCGCTCGAAAGATGCTGATACTTTGTTTTAAAAAAAGTATAAATAGATATTTACGATGTAATAAAATTAAGATATACTATTTATACAAAGTGCGAAGAGTTTTCAAAAAGTAATTGCTATTGTTAAAGTCGTGACTATTTTTTTATTATTTGATATCATGAGTATGAATATATGTAAACTCCGCATATATTAATGTATGTACATATATATATATATTTTTGTATGTATTCATATATAAGCCAGATCTTGCTATACCATATATTACATAATAGTTGTCTATTATATTATTTTAAAGGAATATAATTAATTTTTTTCATGTAATCAAGTTTTGAATTTATGTATCCATTTATTTATCGATTTTTCCGATTCAAAAATCAAATGAATGGAGACTGAAAAAACTAAAAATAGATGAATAATTAAATTCTGATAAAGAAAGATATAAAAACATAATTATATTTGAAAATAGAAATGTATTTCTGTTATTTTCTTTTTTAAATAAATAAAGTATACAAATGACGCATGAATTTATGAAATACATCAAGACATATGCAAGATACAATGCAACTATTGATTGATTTTTAGAATATAGTTTAACAATGTTGTAATATGCAGGTATAATGATATTAGAAATGTAATATCAGGTATACAATTTCTGGGCTGTGAAACTATATTGCTAACTAGATTATAGATAATAATTAAAAGAAATCGGTACAATCTATTCATTTAATAAACTTAATGGACACATATTCCATTATGAAGATACATCATAGTTAAATGAATGATAATCGTGCACACATATACACATGGACATAATACACATGTATATATATACATTCATGTAAATCAGCTAAATCAATATAAAATACGAAATAATTATCGCAATACATACATTGTTATCACACAAAAAATGCGATCATATTTTTTAACTTTGCTAGGAGAGAATTTCTTAACATTGTGTTAGATATATAATATAGAGAAAGAACGTAAAAGAAAATATTGTATTTGAATAAAAATATGATTATTAATTATTAAAAACATGTTTTTTCGTAAATTATTTTAAAGTACTAGATTTTAAATATTATTTTTAATCAGATATGATTAATGAAAATGATAGTTTTATAATTTAAAGATAAATAAAAGGAGTGTACAAATAAATAAATATATATATATATAAAATCAGTTTTTACACACACACACACACACATACACACACACACACACACACACACACTATTAGTAACAAGTTAATAAAAGAGACTGATCATCATTCATTTAAATATATTTGACGATATAAATTTTATTCTCTAAATGATGAAGTAAAGCTTGTATTTTAAAATCTTAGTATTACTATTTTATTATATTTTTTGTTATTGCTAATAAAAGTATTAGCTTTTCAATCTATAATTTTTATTGCAACATTACTTTTTTTCAATCAACATGTGTATATTTCTTAGAATTCTTTTATTTTGATGTTGAAAATAAAAAAATCTGAATTATTTGATTATTAGATATTTAATTATTAGATATTTTTTCTAAATTATAACTTATCAATAAAAATGATATAATTGTCAATTTTTCCAAAACAGAAGAAAAAAAAGTTAAAAATGAAACAAATTAAAAAATATGAAATTTTATTTTTATATTTTCTTATTTGTGATACATATGATAGTACATATAACAGTGATAATGCGTCATTCTTTTGCAATTCATTTCATATGACAGCTTTTATAATTTTTTCTAAATCAATTGTGATCGATTAACTTTAAAAATACTTACAAAATACTTATTTAAAAATTATTTTAACTTTAGTAATTTGATACTTGAATTTTTATCTCAAAATGTCACATGAGGATTAAATACAGATAAAAACACGCTTTTTTTATATTAAAATATATATATATATATATTTATAACAGAAATCTTCATTTATTATATTATTAGATCCATTGTAAAAAATAATGCTTTTATTAAAAATAAATACAGTACATTAAGCACTCTGTCTTTTTCTTTTTTTTAATATTTGATAACGTCGCCAAATCGAGTTTCTCGTTCTCCGAAGAACCTTAGCCAAATCAACATATTTACGTCTTTCATCAAGAAATGGGTTGTTTTCTAAATGATCTATTATCATTTTATCTTCTTCAGGTATATATCTAGTTATTTTAATATTTCAATATTATTATTACAAATACATTTAATGTTAAACCTTTTCCAGTATTATCATTAATTTTACATAAAAGGTGATGAAAGGTAACACATAAAAATACATGTAAATACATGTTATTATACATTACCTTCGTTGTAGATTATTTTCATATAAATTTCTAAATCTGTGATAGACACTATATAAAGTTCTATCTGGTAATCCATCAGCTAAGAATTGCACAAATTTTCGCCTTTCCGTGGTATTACGCATGTATGTTAATGTGCCAATTCTTAATTGTAGAAACGGTTTAGTCTTTCTTTTATCCCAGTTATGTAACTGTTTTAAAATTTACATTATATATAACTTTTTTATTAAATACTTAATTTAATACTTTAAATTTCATTAAATATACTTTATTAAATATGGAAAACTTTAGTTCTATATTATAAAAATATTTCTAAGTATTAGATAACAAACAAAATAAAAATTATTCTTGCATACAAACTTTACAAAATGTTTTCCAATTACTGGCAATAATCTTATCCTCTTCAAAAGAATATGTGCCTTTCCTGATTGGTATTATTTTTCTAAACTTTTCGATTTCCTTTCGCGTTGGTATATGGGACCCAGCTCGTGTTTCAATCTTATGCTGTGGTGGCACTGTATGTCTCAATTTTACATGTAAATTATATAATTGCTGCAATAGAAAATAATTACACATATATCTCACTTATTTTTGTTAGCTTTCGTTAAATCAAACTTTATTAAAGATAATTACTACTGCTTCTGCTTGACATAATCTTTCTGTCGATGCCATTTGACGTGCTAAGTATGTTACTTCACTATAATTTTCTTCTTCCACACCTTCATCTTCGGAATCAACTATATGATTGTATTTATTTTTCAATGCTTTTTTAATATCACCACTTTTATTCTGTAATATATCTATCTCATTATCAATATTTTTATCCTTACATTTTACTTCACAAGTATCTTCATTCATAGATTCTTCTGTTGAATTGCTATCCTCATTTTGTTCCTCATTTTTCCTATTCATCCCATTTTCAATATCTCCATCCTTATGTTTTATTTTACAGATATCCTTATTTTTTAATTCTTTCTTTGAATTGTCTTCTTCATCTTGTTCTGTTCTTATTTCATTCTCAATGTTTTCATCCTTGTGTACTTTAGAGATGTCTTCATTCTCCAATTCTTTTCTTAAATTGCTACCATCATTTTGTGTTGTTTTTATTATAGTCACGATGTCTTTCGTCATAGATTCTTTCGTTTTGTTGCTATCATGTTTCATCATATTACTGATATTAATTCAAATACAAATTCTATTAACAACTTTAAAGATTATATCATTATAGCTCAATTATAAATATCAAAAAATACAGTTTATAAAGATACAGCTCATTTTATACATTTTATTTTCTTAGGTCGATTATGTTTTTATACATGTAAAATCTTATATTATTTCATAAAGTTTAAAAACTCAACAAAACACTTAGAGGTCATTTGAAAGTATATTATGTCCTAAAATTATATCACTTAGGAAAAATAATAGTGAATTTTTAAATTAAAAAATATTATAATTTTTCTATACAGATAAATCATTTCTTAAATTTTTAGAAATATAAAAAGAACGTCTAATAAATTGTCTGATTCATTTTAGTACATTACAAAAATATAATTTTTTAGAAATTAAACATCCTTTTCGATAATTATTTGTTAAATTATCATGATATATGTGACATTACCTGTCATAAAAAATATATTTTTCTTTGAATAATGAGATAAATACACAATTTTAAAATGATATTTCTTTCGCGTAAAGGACTTTAGGTTAGAATCAGAACTTGTAGCGTAGATGTTATAGATCTGTTCCTTATATGATTGAGCAAATAAAACTTCCGCGCAATGACATTTAGAAGCAAAAAATTCCCTAGCAAAATAAAAAATTGAATGGAGAAGAGAGTTGGAGCCTGCGCACAATGGAGCAAATGTTAGGAACAGAAATAAATAGTAAGTATAAAATATAGTAAGTATATAATATACTTACTTGTATTTATTGTGTGTTACGTTTAATTTTTATTCTGAATTTTTATTTCTAAAATTTAATATTTATTCTTATTCCTAATATTTCCTCCTAATATAAAAAACAAACTATAAATAGACTTCCAATAACAGCACAAATCAATGCAACTCAAATTATATCGTCTTTGAAGTCAATCGTGTATTTTGAAACGAGATGAAAATTATAAATGAGGAAATTTACTAAATACTTTAGTGACTTTCTTTATTTTTGTCAATTTGCGTCACTTATTGGAAATTTACGATTTGTGGCATATAAAAATAAAAAAAAACAAAACTTAAACAGTAGGGCTGAATTCTCATGCAGTAAGTACTATTTACTTCCATCATTTATTTTTTACCAATTAGTATTCTGTGTCTGGATAAGAATTCAGTCCAAACTTAAACAGTAAGGAAATTAATGTTATGGATTTGCTACTGCTGATGTTACTGCCTTATGTTCTCAATTGTGATTGGCTGATTCGCTTGCTGCTTAAGTTTTTTGGTGTGTCATGGACCTTAAATCATTTATTATAGATTGGATCTTATAGTTTTAAATCTATAGAAATAATCTAATCAGGGAGTCAATCATGTAACTTTACGTGAAATTTTTCATTTTTTACTTTTCATTTTTCACACCTTGACATTTCACGTGAAACTTTTCACGTACAGCGATTATATATGCTTGGATGCGTGGAAAGTGAAATCATGAAACATAGTTTTATAGGTTTTATAGCTAATGAAAATTATTTTATTATACAGTACAGTATTATATACATCTTTTAATAATCAATTGTATATGTATTACGTACATTTAATCCTAACGCTGCTCTAATCTTCTCTAATTTCGAAGCATATTTATTAATTCCCTAGATTTCCGCCTTTCCGCCACTAAGGTACATGACGAAAAAGTTCACGTGAAAAATTTCACATTTTCACGTTTGAGAGAGTTACATGATCCCGTAAAATTGTACATGATCGTAAGTTCACGTGAAACTTTTCGCTTTTCACGTTTTTGCCTTAGGGGAAAAGTTACATGATCAACCCCCAGCACTAAGCATCTGTAAAGCTTGCGTTGACGATCTGTTTTTTCTATATCTATGATATAAACCAATAGAAATTTCTAACCTAATGTACTTGTCAATATTATAACAATTATTACAGTAGGACACGTACAAAGCAATACGTTATAGCTTCTTAATTTAAATAAATGTATTATTTTACTAAAATATTATAAATATAAAATGGCCCAAGCGTATGATAATTACTATACCGATTATCATAAAAATGCTGAGTTGCAGCAAAATCTAAAATATAAGAAAAAATATCGAAGACTTAAAAGGATTGTAAAGAATACCGTATTTGTGAGTCTTAATATACATAATTTTAACATATAATATACGATAATTTTAATATTTTTTAAATTTAATGTTTTTATAAATATAATTGATTATGATCTCAATTCTGATACAGGAAAATGCAGCACTATGTGATCAAGTTGCACATATGCAAGAAAATTTGATGTTGGTTAAAGAGGAGAGACTATTTCTTCTCCGCAAGTTATGTCAACAACAAGGTGAAATAGAATCTAACTCGACAACTCCAGCTCGCTCACAAACAAACAATACAAATTCACCATCGCTTAATCCAGAATGTACTACCCCAAAAAAGACAGTAAAAAAGAGAACTTCTACAGATGGATCAGGTATTTCTTAGTAATAACTGTAAATATATTACACAAAGATAGAACAGTATCAATGTTAACAATATGAATTAACTTATTTATATAAATATTACCTATCTTAATTTTTAGAAAATATATTTATAATCTTGTAGCTATATTCTTTTCTAATATAACAATTATGAATTGAATTTGTTACAGAACCAAAAAATAAGACGAAAAGATATAACAAAACCACCAGAAGAGTGGTGCAATTAATTCCATTGGATGTACATGGAAGGCCGATATTTCCTATAGCTTTAGGAGATCTCACAATTTATTCTCTTGGTGAAGTGGTATCAGATAGAGCTGCATATCACACAGAAGATCTTATATTTCCAGTGGGTTACTGTAGTACTAGAGTATATGCAAATTTGAAAGATCCAAGAACAAAAAGTTTATATACCTGTAAAATACTAGATGGTGGTCCAAAACCTAGGTATAAAAACTATAAGAACAATTGAGAAAAGTAATTATTTCTAAAAGAAATTATAATACAGATATGTGAATATATAATTTCATTATTTATAGATTTGAAATAGTATCTGATAATGATTTGGAGCAACCATTAGTTGGTTCCAGTCCTGACGAATGTCACACAAAATTATTGGCAGCAATTTCTCCAGCGCTTTGTACTATAGTGCCGAAAGGCGCAGATTTTTTTGGTATTTCTCATCCTACTATACAAAATTTAATACAAAGTTCTCCAGGAACACGTAAATTAGCAATGTATAAACAACAACGTTTTGAGGTATGTATACAATATTTCAAGATAAGATTCTTATACATATTCTTAATTATTTATAAAGTTGTGTGCTAAATATATATAAATGTGTACACACATCTAAAACATAATTGATGGAAAAATTAAAAATAATCAAGTTTAAGCAAAACATTTTATTGATTTTTTTGTAATTGAGATATTTAAACAAGATTTTGTCATTAAAAAAATGTTAAAAATTTAGGATAATGTACTTTACTTAATTCTAAATTTAAAATATAAAAAAATTAATTATTTTACTTAAATATATCTTTTAGGTAAGCAAAAATCACGTAATCGATCGATCCACAAGTCCAGTGACAGAAACGGAAACTGATCCAGGATTAGGTTTTGCAGCATTACATAGGCATTATGCTTTAAATTCTTATAGAGTAAAAGAAGAATCTACAGATCACGATCTATTAGCGCTTCAAGATCTTCTTGCATAACTGCTAATGTTATAAAATGAATAATATATAGATATTAAAATACATTTTTTATTCATTTATAAAACGTATTAATAGCTTTTTTTTGCGCATACGCGTATTAATACTGCAGAGAAACAAAAAGTAAATTTAACAAAGAAAAATATTGAGAATTGTAATAATTATATCACAGAATTATATTTTCATATAAAGATGAAATGAAGTGCGTTAAGATAAGCGTCGTTTATATCATGAATTATTTGAATTTTTTTTTATTAAAGAACATCTTATATTGATTTTGAAACTGCGTCAGTTTTCAGTGGCTCCAAATAAATATAAACATATAAAAATAATTGTAAAATGCAAAGTAGATAAAATTATTACAGATTTAAAAAAAATAATAAATTTTTTATATTAGTAGATCAATGCACGAATATTTTGGATGCAAAATTCTTTTACGACCAGCTAAATAATGTATAAAAAAAAATTATTGTATTGGGTCTATGCATAATTTCGTAGCGAAAATCGAGTAAATTTCAAACGCAAAATATTTAGTAAAAAAAGCGATTTTAATCAACTAAATATGTTTCATTTTGTTCAATGACTTTCTGCCATCTCTCCACGAGCTTCATTATTCCTCTTTCATAGAAGTCCTGAGATTTTTGGGCAAAGAAGTCATCCAAGTCATTTTTAAGGACATCCAAGGAACTGAAGGTTGAATGTTATTCAAATTGGTCTGTAGCGCCCGGAACAAGTGATAGTCTGAAGGTGCAAGGTCCAAACTATATGGTGGGTGCACTAAAACATCCCATCCAAGCCGCAATAATTTTTGCCGAGTCATCAGAGAAACGTGTGATCTAGCGTTGTTCTTAAACACAACGCCCTTTCTGTTCGCCAATTCGGGCCGTTTCTGATCGATTGCTCGCTTTAATTTGGCCAGTTGTGAGCAGTACTTGGTCGAATCAATCGTTTTGTTGGGTGGCAACAGTTCATAATAGACGATTCCTTTCCAATCCCACCAGATACTGAGCATGATCTTCTTCGGGTGTAATTCAGCCTTTGCAGCCCGAGCAGCCTCTCAGCGCTTCGACCATGATCTTTTTCGACTGACGTTGTAGACAATCCACTTTTTATCGCCAGTGATCATCCGCTTTAAAAATGGTTCGTTTTGATGGCGTTTAAGCAGCGAATCGCAAGCTGAAATTCGATCCATTAGAAATTCTTTTCGCTCAGTTCGTGCGGCACCCAAACTTCATCATATCAAGCTTATTTACCATCCCAAGCTTCCGTAAATGTCTCGAAACAGTTGATTGATCAATGTTGAGATTATGTCCAATCTCTGTAGTCGTCAAATGCCAATTGGAGTCGATTAAAGTCTTGATTTGATCGACATCAGTAGTGACTGGCCGACCAGAGCGAGAAGCATCTTGGAGATCAAAATCTCCGCAACGAAATTTCGCAAACCATTTCCGACACACACTTTCGCTTACGGCATTCTCTCCGTAACACGACGCATATCTTTTTGTGAGTTTGCGACGCGGAAGTTTGCTTTTTCGGAAATAAAAAAGCGAAATACACCGAAAATACACGTTTTTTTCCTTCCATATTCAAAATATAATTAAACTTCGTATATGTCACGGATCTCGAATACTTTCTTAAAATGCGGCACAAATTTCAGCTTTTAATGTATAACACTTCATATATTGACACATGTGCGAGCGGAAAAACAACTGCGACATCTGTCGGATTTCGCTACGGAATTATGCATAGACCCAATAATATATGTTCCTTTTCATACTATGTAACTTTTTGTTTGAAATATTTTATATATTAAATAATTTGTGAATGATTTGAATTTATCAAGTTAGATCAAACATTTTGTATATAAATATATGTTAGCACATGCATTTACATATACATTTCATGTATATATTCATACATTTTTAGTAAATTTTTATAAAATATATAATTTAATAACTGAAAGAATGTTATTTAAATTATTTTGCTTTACTAATATTAGTATGAATAAATAAAAGAACTCTTTTAAGAATTGTGATAAAATGTTCTCAAATTCAAAAGATTTATTAAATATTATAATTTATTAATCTTTTGTCGATAATAAAATATTAGCAATTTTTATTTTAATGTATTGGATTACGTTTTGACAATTATCAACACAAACACTATTTTTTTTAATATAATTTTATGTGATATTTATTTAAACTATAATGTATAAAATGATCGATATATGCTATATGATAAATAACCATTTACATTTTCTTGATTATATACAAAAATTGAAATATTCTTATGTATTATATATTATCAGCAAATTTCATCATATAATTGATATTGTTACTTCGGTTTTATATGTATCTATTTTTTGGACGAATTTTTCCTGTACAAATGATATGTATGGCACAATATGTAATTAGAATCAACAGATTCAATTCATCAAGATATTTCTATTGGCGTTTATATACAAAATACTTAAAAAAATCTTTAAAATATAACATTCCTAAAGAAGAATATAAAATAGTCATGTATGATATACAGAACACTATATTATATAGATGATTTATATAATTTGGGACAATAGTTTACCTATTCTATATATTAGGATTATATTATAAATAGATTGGATATATCAACTGTCATGCAGTGTTATTATTTTTACAGCATATGTTTATATGTTTATACCACAGCGCCGATTAGAGATCTCAAATCGATATTGAAAAATGACTAGCTATAGCATAAAAAGCTCAAAAAAGATGAATTGTTATAAAAATTATGAAATATAATCAAGTTTGTATATTCCTTGTATATCTATATATTATTGAATAGGAAATCACATGTATGAATAAGCTGTTTATATACGCATTATTTATATATGTATAAATAAATATATTTGTACTGATTGGTCCTACAATTAAAGAATTTCAATTAAAGAATGATATACTTTTTAAAAACTGATAGAAAGAAATATAAAATTCACAATTTTACTTTATTACATTAATGTTAAAAATCTATTATCTGTATTTCTTCTAAACAATCTTTGTAATCCGTATAAATAATATAAATTACTTCCTGCAATAGTAAGTAATAGATACCTTTTTTGAAAATTGTTTTATGTAATTATTATTATTGCATATGAGCTTTTCTGTAACAAATGGTTGGTTGATTTGGTAAGATGTAGACGCATATCCTAATATATGAATGGCATAAATTAAGCATTTATTCTTCTTTTTTGTCTTCATCGTCACCGTTTATTGGCTCGTCCAATGGTTTTATTAAATAATGTGTTTGCAATCGCAATTACTGGCGAAAATAATTTCAACTGGCAATCACTGAAACAGTTATTTAAATCATGTTTTAATTAAATATATATTAAATATGCAAAATATTAAATAAATTCTATATAAATAAAATATAAAATATCATTAAAAAGATATATATTCTATAATTTAGATATTTACCATACTCCAGTTACAGGTTCGGCTTCGTTTCCACTCACAATAAAAAGTGGAAACAAAATGGAAAAAACACAGCCACTACAAATAAGATTTTGTTATATTCGTTTTGTTTATAAACATATTTGCAAATATATATAAAATTTATATAAATTCATAAAGTGTTTTATACAGAATTATTGCATATCCATCTGCACATTAATAAATTAAATATAAATACAGTTTGATATCTTTGTAACAATGAAAAATTCAAAAATATAATTTAATAAGTTTTAATATAAGTTAAAATTTGATGTTTATTAAGATTTTAAATCTTTGTAATCATTTTAAATTAAAAAACATCTGTTTTTAAATATTAACAGACCTAATGTTCTCTTGATTAAAAAAAAAATTGTATACCTTACAATTACGGGCATTATATAATACCTTATAAAGTACGAGTTGGGCAGTTGAGTAAGTATCGCTAATGGCATACCAAAGCCTAAAAAGTATGGCCAATTTCCTTCAATAAAAGTCAATCGTCTATGCAACTCCCAACCCATGTTGAACCATTTGTATTCAAAGGCATAGAGAGCATATAAAAGGCACATATGGACAAGGGCAAGAATGTCCCCTAATGGTGGTAGTGGAACTTTGGATACCAACATTCCTTGTCCCAAGAATAACGCTTGAACTAATACGCTAAAAAGCGTGTCAGCTATCAATTTGCTTACACTTGACAGAATTAAAGGTCTTCCCTGTCTGTATCTGTAAGCGCTATCTGCTATGTCCTATATATATATTTGTAAATACATTGTACATATACTGTATTATATAAATTCTAATATTATCCACTACTTTCATAAATAGTTTTCTATATATTGCAAAGAATTCTACCTGAAACCACAAACTGTTAACTATTCTGCTGAGTAAGAATAGTGGCAGTACCCATATTGTACCGAATATAAGAGATAGAAATGGTTCGATCCATGACCATACAGTAAGACCCATGCCAGGAGAATGGCCGAATATAACAGTCAGTAAGTACTTAACAAATGGCAGAAGTCCTAACTCAAATATCCATATACTAGCCCAAAATACTCCACCGTTTAATGTACAGCATTGTAAGGTTCTTCTTAACACCATAGATTTTCTAAAATTGAGTGAATTAATAAATTTTGCTATCAAACTAATTTTTCATATCTATTCTTTGTAAATAATAAGGATACCGTTGCTTATTCTTGGAGGGACTCGGCATAACCAAGTCTTTTTTTTTAAGATCTGCTCTGCTAGGAGATCTCCCAACTAATTTCTCATTAATTTGTTTATCCATGTAAAAAATAACAATGGTACCTTTCAAGCTGTCTATAAATCCTCGACATATTGCATAAATTATTCCCTAAAAGAAATTAATTCTATGTATATTATATAAATTTGAAATATATCCGTATTGCATACTTTGGATTGATTGAATGTTATTAAATGACAATGTTATTAAAAATATGCCTTTTCAAATCTATAATCAATATATTTTTACTTTCCAATATCACATACCTTGATAAATAATAACCAAATAATAAATTGGAGTGTTAAAATTAAGCAAAAGTTTTTGCATTTTCTTGTTAATTTCAAGAAGGCTTGAGTCTAAAAGAATTTTGATTTAAAATTCAGTTACTAGGCCAGTGAAAATTGAATATTAAAAGATCAAATATAAAAATCGAAACATAAATCGAGCACAAAAAGATGGCGATCTAATAAATATTCATTAATAAAAGATAAGGTAAATATGCAATGTAACACTTTCTCCTCCGATTTTCCTGTAATTTTGTACATTTGTGTATTTTCATGTAAAATATATTCTGTGAAGAAAAATATTCGTCGTTCAAGTTCTATTTTTTTTAATTTCAAAGTTTGATATTGTTTTTTTTTAATATTTAAACTTCAATCCACATAAAAAGAATGAAAAAGATAAATTTTGAATCATAAAATATTCTCTGCTATAATTTAAATTATACAAGAAAATAATTTATACCTTTAATTAATTAAAGCAGAGAATATGATAAACATAGTTATAAATTATCATTAAATTATTATTTTCTAATTTACCGATGTCAAAAAAACTTTAAAAGTAAAATGATAAGAAAAGAATCGGGAGCGATGATTTTTGTTTCTCGGAATATGTTCTACGTATGAAAATACACAAATTTACAAAATTACAGGAAAGTCGGAGGAGAGAGAGCGTTTTACATGCACATTTTTATCAAGGATTTAAAAATTGCTGATTATTTTTGTGGTCTAAAAAAAATGAGCGATTTTTTTATCAATATGCACTGATAAATGATATAAATGATCAGCGATATTATATTGTTAAAAGAGATGCCGATCGCTTATGCAACAAAGACCGAGAGCGGTTGAGGGTGCAAGCGAGTCACGCGGCGTGAGGGACGCACATGGTCCACGAGGTTAAAGTCTACTCACTGTCACGCTATCCATTATATTGCGACTATGCTTGGATGTGGCTCAAGCTATGCTCAAAGAATAGTCAAGGGTATACCGGACGGTCATTTTGCGTATGACAAAAATGACGCGGTTTCGTAGGCCGCAATAACGAAGAACGACGATATTTACTTCAAATCGTCGTTACAAGTTTTCTCGAATCGCTATTATGACTATTCGCACATCAAGCACCGACCGTCATGTGAACAACACTGGCAATTCGTGTTGTCCAACGAGTCCCGTTGTTCGGAGCCCCATCCCCCCCTCCTGCCCCGCGAGACCGCCGATTTCCAGGGACGAATCAGCTGAAAAACAAACGTACGGAAGAATCAGCTGATTGGAGGTGGTTCTGAAATTATGAAATATCCAGACCGCATTCTATGCGCGAGAGAGATGTCAATGACATCGTCCGATGTTCAATGAGGAGATTCGTTTTCTAGAAACAAAAAATCAGTCAGCTCCATTAGCTAGAGTCCCTAGAATTCATATTCTTCTTCTGTCAAAATATCGCATGTCGAACATCGGAGGTAGTAATTCTTTCATTAAGCTAATGTTTTATTGTCATGTGATCAATTTTTTGAACATTTTGATTTCAGCAGTGAGCAAATCGTCCAATTATATTTGAAAAATTATCGAAAATGATAAGGATTATCATTTTAAAACTGTATATAATTGGTCAATTTGCTTACGTTTTTCTATTGGTTCCTGCACACAGGAATGTCAATACTAGGGAGTAATGTATTAACCAATGAGCATTTTATTTTTCCGGAAATAATAGATATATCTATGTGTGCAAGCCAATAACGTATTTCTTTTAGTCTCGTTTTATATACTGGAATTAATCATTTTGTTGACATAATTTGAATTTATTCGATTTTACACGAACCTTATATTTTATATACCTTGTATTTTATCTAGCAATTTCTAACCATTTCGTGATAATCCACGAAAATGTTGTTATGTGCGTAAAAGTAATTTATATTAAGAAATTAAGTCATTCTAATATATTCAAAAAAATCAAATCTTTTTTGTTTTAAATTAAAGGAAAAGCTATAACACGAACATTGAACTTTCTGAATTAGATATTACAGCAACAAATAGAGGCAGTGGAGGAATTGGACATTGGATATATAAATTGATTTTATTCGATGATGTTATCATTTATTTTATTTAAATATATGGATATAATTTCATTGTTGTTTAGATGAATATATTCAAAATAATAATAAAAGTTTGAATTCGATGATTTGGAAATATTCTCTTAAAATAATTTAAGAAGATATAATTACTAAATTACAATTATGTATATAAATTATCAAATTTCTTTATCAATTAATTAAATTAAATGATTAGTATACACAGAGTATTTTTATTATAATATAAGCGTACAAAATAGCGTCTTTCAAACAAAAAAAATCACTATAATGTTAATTTTGTTCTGTTTTGATATCTATTGTTACTCAAAAATTTTTTAATTCATTTTATTTTATTGCATCAAAATTTATTTATTATTTAAATGTAAAATATTTTAATAAGAAATTTTTTACAATAAATTATAATTTGTGAAATCTTATAATAAGATCATACAAAGTTATATATATTTAATTATATACATATCATTAACTGTAATAAATAAAACTTATTTAAATTAAAATGTAGAAAAAATTCGTTTAAAATATAAGTTAACTCTAATTTATATTATAATTTACAGACTATTAATTCGATATTTTTGTGCATATGAAATACCTTCCTTTAAAATAAATAGTTATTGCATGATTTATGTTACTTTTATTCTCATGTACATTTATTACATATAATTTGCAAGTTAACTTGAATAATTTCAATAATTACCAATAAAATATTTATGTATTATAATTTATAAATTTTATTATTATTTACATATTAAATATTTTTATGTAATTATTTTATGTATTATTTATGTATTAAATATTTTTATTATTATTTATGTATTAAATTTATAAATTTTTATTATTATTTATGTATTAAATATTTATATATTAATGTTTTTTATTATTTTATTATCTGTATTTAACTCCAATCTTAACAATAAAATCTTGTAATTTGCATAATTATGTTAACTACATATTTACATTGGGACATATAGTTTCTTTCGTATGTCAAATCTCTATTGCTCTCTGCCTCGATGTTAAATGCGCGCTTTCATAAATGATCATCATCATGACTTCAGAAAGAAATACAGTGTTGCCAATTATTTACGCATGCGCCATTTTGATGTTCTACTTTGACATGGCAACGTGGTCGCAACGATGCGGCCTCGGCACAGCTTCGATGTTACCACCTCACAGTATCGCGAAATAACGGACGCACAGTGTTCAAAGGGTCCAGAGTGACAGAAATCTGTGCAATGCGACTCAATATCGTTGCACTGCAATTTTCTGTTATGAAAAAGATTATCTTTTTCTTGTGAAATTTATGCTTTATTTGTGATAAGTCATAATTTGTATTGCTTTCGTCTCCACGTCACATCTTTATTGATCACCAGAGAATTATTTCGAGGAGGTAATGAAATGATATGTACTGATTTATTTTGGAATATTTCAAGTGGATTGGAATAAGTATTTCGAAATAGTATGCCATAAAAAATGTATATTTTTCAGTTCATCTTTTAACTATTTAA